GCCCAGATGTGCCCTATGTCCTCAGCATGAGCATAAATCTGGGGATTTTACCCAGAGTGGGTAAAATGGTGCACAGAGGGGAAAGCGGGGCTCCGGGAGCGGGATTGGGATGGGAAGGGACAGACAATGCCCCCCCAAAAGTGGCAGGGGTGAGGATACCCCCAAAAATCAGACAGCAAGGTTTCCCCTGCATCTTCTCTCACCTCTCCACATCCCCCAGGAGCCCGCACGCCCGCAGAGCTCTGGGGGAAGACCAGGCCTCGATAGGGGTGCCCCCCCAGGCCGCCTCCACCAGCCCGAGGGGGTACCGCAGAGCCTCGTAGAGGTAACGCCCCAACAACCAGCAGATGGCTGAGAAGTAGGTGAAATTCCCGTGGCCCAGGTTTTCTGTTCAAGAAACAGTGGGCTGCAAAGGGAAAAAAAGCAATTTCTGGGCTTTTTTGGGGTTTTTTGAGGTGTCTTGCACTCACCAGCTGTGGGGATGGACCACGGCAAATCGATTCGCTCCAGGTCATCCAGTTCCATGTCAGAGCGGGCGGGCGCTGCGGCGAAGATGCGGATGTAGGGGTAGTGAGCGGCGGCGGCCAGCTCCTGGCTGGCATTGGCGACCTAGGGAAGGGTCAGGAGCGTGCATGGCACTTCCCTGCCTGATCCCTGCCTGAGGCAGCAGGATCAGGCCGCGGTGCTCACCTGCAGGACCGTCATTGCCATGTTGCTCTGCCCGCTGCAAAGCCACACGTCGCCAAAGTAGACATCCCACAGCGTCACGTTCTCCGAGCCCTGCCCAGCCGTCAGCGTGTAGGGACCGCCTTGATCCATAGGGTCCAGGACAGTTGTCCACATCCCAGAAGGTCCTAGAAGAAGAGGACGGTGCTTATCTTTCACAAACCCAACAAAGATCTCAAGATCTTTGCAAATGAGCAGCCAACAACCAGACAGGCGACGAGGGAAAGCTTCGCCACCGCAGAGCCAGGCTGGGGAAGTGGATTTTGGAAGCTGTCCACCATTGGAGGGTCTTTCCTCCTGCAGGAACATAGGGGTTAAAAAGAAAATCTTGAAGACAAATGTGTGTCAGAGCAGAAGCTGCTGGGAGGAACCAGGATTACAGGAGCAGCTTGGTGTGTGTGACACTGAGATGTCTCCAGCTAATTTTAGAGGCGCCGATTTGAGGCGTAAAGATATTCTGCTGGAGCTTAGCATGGATTTTCTGGCCCGGCTGGGACCGGATCCTGCAGATCTCCCAAGAGCAGCAGATCGCTGCTCTCTCCCAAAACGCCTCCAGCTTGTGGAGAAGCTCTTTTGGCAGCAGTTTCACCCCCCCTCAAAAAGGTGAAGGGCAGCCCCCCAACTCACTTGGCAGGGAATGAGATTTGAGATGCCTCCCAGGCTCAAGGAAGGCTCTGTGACATCCTTCAGGTCTCAGAGATCCCCTCCGAGGGGGGAAGACATAAAAAAAAAAAAAAAAAAAGGTTTTGACAGGGAGAGGAGCTGAATCCCCTCCCCTCTCCCCTCCACAGCCTCATCGTTCGGCTCAAAGCCTACGCGGTGCCACCCACTCCAGCGGCAGCTCGGCTCCCGCTCGGCACCTACGTGATCCTGCTGTTGGGAAACCAAAGTGAGCAAAGGCCGATGGGGAGAGGGACGGCTGACCCCCCCGCTTTCCCCACAGATCTCCTGGAGAAGGCAAAAGCGTGGCCCCAGGGGAGACATCACCATCACAGCCACCTCCCATCCAGCAATGGGACAAACCCAGTGGGTCCAATCTGGGCTTGGACTGGTGCTCCTCAGCCACCAAAACCACCGGCGAGGGTCCAGGACCCACCTTTAACTTGCGCCTTCTTCTTCATGACGAGGCCACCAGCCCCGGAGAGAACCACAGTCACGGCAGCCCCTGGCTCCCCGTAGCCCCACACCACGGCTCCCGCTGGCTCCTTCTGCAACACCATGTGGTCGCCGTAGTAGGAGGCGAAGCCAAACATCGCCCCTAGGATCAACAGAGCACAAACATCCTCTCCAAGAGGCGAAAAGTGATGAGAAAAATCCCCCACACAGCCTATGACTCCCTCTTAAATGCAGATTATTAGAGATCCCACTTTAATTTACAGCTTCCATCAGTCCTTGGTCAAGCTTAAAGTGGTTAAAATCACCAAGGAGCTGAGGAAGCAGCACGATTTTGTCCCCAGGAAAGCCCAACCCTACGAGGGAAGTCACCTCCCGAAGGACAGGAGCTTGTTCTTACACAGAGTTTGGATAAAGATTTAGGTAAAAAATTTTTCTAATAACAGTATGGGAGCGTTTCTTTGAGCCCAGCCTTGCTAATAAATATCTTCTGACATATATTTCCCTGGCAAAAAAAGTTTGGTGAGTGATGGGACAGGAATCACCGGGCACGTGGCACCAGCAAAGACGCTCTCAGTGGGGAGGGAAGCAGAAGTCTCAGCCCTGGCACCCCTAAAAGCCCCATTTTTGGGGGTGTGAAAATAAAACCATGCTTGAAAGGGGGTGAGGGCAATGTCTGCAGGGTGTGGAAAGGTGATGTGGGCGGTGATCCCTGTTGCAGAGATCAAACTGGGGCTAATGGAGCCCTATCTCCTTCACTGCTCATCCCAGGTTGGGTTTAATAGAGGAAAGAAACGATGTCCTCGGCCTCTCTGAAATCAGCCGCATCACCAGTCCCACTGTCTCATGCGACGAGGCTCCGAGAAGGACAAGTTACATAAAAAAATGAGTCGGAGGAGGAAAAAAAAAAAACCAAACCCCGAGACGCCGAGGAGGAGACTGGAGGCTATAAAAAGCAGCTGGGAGGAGGGAAGGGAGGAGAGCCCACGAGATGCTGCCGAGGAGCCGCATGCGACTCCCACCTTACATAAAGCATCATCCCATGGTGGCAGCGACACGCCAAGGGCATCGGAGAGGGGCTGGGGGTGTGTAAAGGGTGTCAAACAAGGGATGGGGGGGATGCCAAGGGTGTCAAAAAGGGAGTGGGGGAGTGTAAAGGGCATCAAAGCAGGGCTCTGGGGGTGCCAAGGGCATTGCAAAGGGGCTGGGGGGTGCAAAGAGCACTGAAGTGGGGCTCTGGGGGTGCC